TGGACACAATACCTTTATTTTATTTTATGTGGTGCTGAGGATGGAACCCAGTGCCTCATGTGTGCTAGGCAAGCGCTCTACCACTGAGCCACACCCCATCCCCATTCATGTGTTTTCTGGGAATAGGCAGAGATCTTCCAGGAAGGGTGGATGGTACCATCTATTGAGTGCCAACTCTTTTTACCTCTTTCATGCTTTGGTGTTCCCAGGCATGACGGTGGGTAAGTCTGGGTTGAGGTAACCCTGTATTACAGCGTCGGACAAAGCTTTTTTTTTTTTTTTTTTGTAGCAGCTTGAAACCAGACCCATTTATTATCTCACAGTTCTGTAGGCCAGAGTCCAGAAGAGCTTGACCAAGTTTCTCTGCTCAGGAGCTCATAAGGCTGATATCAGCTGAGCTAGTCTCTTAACTAGAGGACGGGGTGAGTATCAACTTGCAAGCTCAGTACGCGTGATAGTTTTTCATTGCTCTGACCAGAATATCTGACGAGAACAATTTAAGAGTAAGAAAAGTCTCAGTGCAGTCAGAAAACTCCATTGCTCTAGGCTTGAGGTAAGTCCGTGCATCGTGACAGAAGGCTTGGCAGAGCCAAGCAGAGTGGGCATGAGGAGCAGGGACAAGAGATGTGACCCCAGGGCCTACCCAAGTGGTCTGGACCAAGCCTCTCCCAGGTGGGCAGCATGGCAGCACACAAAGCTGAGGAGACAGACATGATGTGAAGACAGAGAGGCCATGTATTTCATCTTCATCCTTGCTGGACACCTGCAGGCCCAAGGGAAGAGTCGGTGTCCTTTAACTATTTGTATTTCAAAGCAAAAATCACAATTGCAGTGATAATTCCTTTTAAAATAATATTTTAGGGCTAGGGATGTCTTTCACTGGTAGAGTGCTTGCCTAGCATGTGCAAGTTCCTGGGTTCTGTCACCAGCACTGCAAAGAACAAAAATCATGCTCTTCGGAAATGTTAATTATGGCAGTGTGTGTAGTAAAATCACTGAGGTCCTTAAAATCACATTGTCTCTGAGAAACTGAGGTAGTCATCACTCAAGTTTTACACAAGCAGACAAATTTCATTAAGAAATACTTTATTGATGTTAACTCAGGTCAATATATGCCTCAAATCTTTCTATCTGCAGTTTTAACTATAAGYACACAAAATGCTTTTACCTGGACAGCTTGTAAGATATTCCTACTCTGGATCCCAGAGGGTCTGCATTGATGGGAAGGAACTAGCTCTTGGTCAGCCCAGCAGCATCAGCGTGACATGCATCTCTGCGCAGGAGCAGAGAGCCACCCAGTGGCCTGCTAAGTGGAGCCTGAGATTCCACAGCCTGGCAGATAACAAGAGGTGGAACCTGTTCTTCCACAGTGAGCATGATTCTCCTCCTTCCTCCACAGCCTTTCACCTCCACACTCTGCCAGGGAGGAATGGAGTATTTGTAGATTCAGTTAGGAATTCAATGAAACTGATTTTTCCTGAGGTTTTTGGGAGGGTGCCTGGGCAAATCAGCTATGTGTGCTCAGTGTTGTGAAGTCATTCCCAGGTAGGAGCTAGATATCCAGTTTTATCAAGATTTGGCTCAGAATTATAATTTTATCTCAGAATTTTGATGCTATAAAGTGATATTTAGATTCTCTTAATTTGAAAGGTGCCGTCATGGATAAACACATTTGGAAATGGAAATCAGGATGAGAATCAGTGATTGTCATCAGCTCACCATGAAGTGCTGCAAGTGGCAACTTGTTCATACCCAGTCCCACTGTTCACTCAGCAGGAGCCAGCACAGGACCTGGAAATCTAGTAGTGTGAGGGAGGCATACAAGAAAGTGTAAGGAAGAATATTACTACCAGAATTACAAGGGATCTCATGACACAGGCTTGAGGGCAGCGTACAGGTTGAAATCATGTTTGAGGTTTACGGCATGAAGATGGGAAGCTCTAGCTTAGCTCACAAAAGCTCTATCCCAGCCCTACTGGGGAGTTGGAAATAAAGTTATCAGCAAAATTTTCACCATGCATCTATCTCCTGGTATCATGGCCCCTCCCTGAGCTACACATTCATTTGTCCCACATCGACTATGTTCCAAGCATGGTGCAGTGCACACATACATCTGCCCTTTGCCCTTAAAGGGGCTCACAGTTCAAAACAGAAGATACTTAAGCAGTGTCTTTGATATGAGATGGAATCAAGGGGATTTTCATGTGGTAGGGGTTCCAGATGCTACAGCAAATAATTGTGCATGAGGCATAARGGGAAGCACAGAGAGCTGTTCTAACAGAAGATGCTTAACTTTGAAGCATTCTTCAGACCAAAGGTATACACCAGTCAATCCTTAGGACAGTGCATTTTAATGATGGTACTGGGAAGATGATTATGAGCCAAAATGGTTAACTACTTTGAATAATGAGATCAGTATAAAGTGAAAAGAATTTTAAAGGTTCAGGAACGTGACTCAGATGTGATACACATTAGACATTTCTTTTTATTTYTTATTTGTAGTTGGACACAATACCTTTATTTTTATGTGGTGTTGAGGATCAAACCCAGGGCCTTGCATGTGCTAGACAAGCGCTCTACTGCTGAGCCACAACCCCAGCCCACACTTGAACATTTCTTAAAGTTTGTTTTCTAAGAGAGGAATAATCAAAAAACTTAAGGCAATGTTGTTTTAATTTTTTCTATGCTAGTATGTGGCTACTGAACATTTTAAGTTAACTATTAACCTGCAACATCATATTAATAACAGTATAATTAGCTGGAAGAAGTGTGAACTTCATTGTAAAATTGTCTCCTGGGACTTCAGCTTTTTTTGAGACGGGGTCTTGATATATTGCCCAGTCAGGTCTTAAGCTTATGGACTCAAGTGGTCCTCCCACCTCATCCTCCAGAGCAGCTGGGACTACGGGTACATGCCAGCACACCCCGCTGGGACTTGGAGCTTACATTACACTGGGGCAGAGGTCAGTGGCAGACATATACTTAGCAGGCATGAAGCCCYGAGTTTGGTCCCCAGTACCAAGCATAACAGACCCCAACAAATAGGCAAAACTGAGGCAGTGAAGGCACTTCCTGGAGCAGTGTCAAGCAGCAGTCCAATTTCAGTGTTGACACAAAATTGTTCATTCCTATGCCGTATTTCCTTTAGTACTACTAGAAAAAAATTGACTTCATTTTAAAATAAACAGTATTTTCTTTTTGGTACTGGGGATTGAACTCCGCCATTTTTACCACTGAGCTACATCTCTAGCAAAGTTGTTGTGACTGGTCTCATACTTGTGATCCTCCTGCTTCAGCCTCCCAGATACTGGATTAGAGGTGTTCAACACTGTTTTGGCTAAATGGGACACTTGGGGAAACAAAAAATTTTAAAAGGTAATAATAATTACACAATCATCAGACTTTCAAAAGCTTAAAGTTTTAATACATAAATCATTGCCAGTAACAGAAGACTTGGACATGGTGGTACACATTTGTAATCTCAGCCACTCAGGAGGCTGAGGCACAAAGATCCCAAGTTCCAGGCCAGCCTCAGTAATTGAGACCTAAGCAACTTAATAAGACCCCATCTCAAAAATAAAAAATGAAAAGTTCTGTGGATGTTCTTCAGTGGTTAAACACCCCTGAGTTCAATCCCTATTATCAAGCCCACCCTCCTCATGCATCTTTTTTGATAAGCAGATTTAACGGTGTAAATAAAAACTGCTATCAACAAAATAAAACAATTACATCCCCCAAATTAAGATTTATTTGGTGTTTGTCAGATAGGCATGTTCATTAACACCAGCTTATTTAATTCTCCTGACAACTTCCAACCCTACTGTAGATGGAGAAAAGGAGTTAGCAAGCTGTCTACAAACACAAGCCAGTTTAACAAAAATAGTAGTAGTTTATTGATCACATATAATTTTAGCTGTATTAATATATGTTATATAACTTTAAGAATTAGAAACGAATGACTTTATATTTTACCAAGGACAATCTGAGTTTTGGCAGCATATTCAATGACCATCATTCAGTCCTACAGCCACCACATGCCCATTTCAGATAATCAGGACGTCATCATCCAAGCTTGACTGACACGATAGTTACCCCTACAGGCTGTATTACACGTTTTCTTTTCCAGTAAATACTCCTTTTTAACATACAGACATATTTCCCAATAATCTTACTTATATAATATACAAAACTTAACTTTTTAGCCACAAGAGTTGTCTCAGGAAGCTTTCATTTTGGAGTGCCATAAAGGCCTGAGACAGCAGCAAAATGACCCTCTGGACTTGGTACTTTTGAGTTTTCATTGTGTTTAGAACACCTGTTTAAAATTAAAACAAAGTCATTCCCACATTATCCTCATGTAGGAAGTCTTTTTATGCACACATGAACACAAGACAGAAATGTCAAATTGATCACTTTTTTTGGCAAATCACAGAAATTGAACAGTGCTACCAGAAACAGAAACATCTCCTTTTAGTGTTTTATAGCTGAAGAGACTGATGAATGTCATTCAAACTTCTCATCTCCTTCTTCCACGTCTTTCAAATTGAGAACTTCCAAAGAACCTTTGCCCTTTGTTTCCTTTTGTATTAGCTCATCAATTTCYCGGAAGCAGCCTGGGTCAATCAGACACACCTGAAACGGTCAACACAGCTGTTTAGCACATGAAGACAAGCAACCCAACAGAGTCACTCACTCATTTCCTTCAGGACAAGGCAYTACAGTTCTGTGTGCCACAGACAAGCAGCAGGAAGGCAGCAGCAGGCCTGCTAAGTCTCCACCTGTCCTGTGGTGAGGGGGGGATACGGTCAGCAGCAGAGCGAGCACTTGCCTGCTGATGTGCAAGGCAACCCCAAAACCCTAAAATGTTCTGTGGTGCACAAGGCGGACCAACTTTTAGTCTAATTTCTCTTTGGCCCATAATGAGAAAACGTGTTTTACAGTGAATCTTCTCTTTCTCATTAAAGTTGAACATGATGGATATTATCTTGAACAATTTAAAAACAAAAATTATGGGCTGTGGTTGTCGCTCAGTGGTAGAACATACATTTGCCTGGCACAYRTGAGGCACTGGATTTGATCCTTAGTACCATAAATAAATAAATAAAAATAAAGGTATTGTGTCCAACTACAACTTAAAAAAAATACACACACACACACACACACACACATATATACATAAAATTGTAACTGCTTATCCATATAAATTTCTACTTTAAACCTTGATATGTTAATTCTAAGATTACGATACTTCTGGAAATGTGTATTTACTACACATTTACGCTAGAAAATACACTATGTTGGTATCATAAAGCAAGGAAACAAGAATATCCAAATCTCACAATTTCTAGCTGCTGGCCATAGTCTTCGCTTTCTATAACCTTGATCAACGGCTTGAGCTTGTCCTTGAGCTTCTTCCCTTCATTYACTGGAAGAATGAACCGGAGCCTCATGTGAGCACGTTCAATCTTCATCTTTTCCTTCAGCTGCTTTATCACTTCTAAAGCCTGTCAGGACAAATGTCATTTCTTTACTTTTGCTGTGGCACCACCCACCAGTATTCAAAAACAAGGAAGCTTTCATTGACTGCGTAGGCAAAGGTTTCTTGGCTATGACAGGAAGAATATGACTACAGAAGAGAAAAACTGCACATTATCAAAATAAAAAAATTCTGTTTCAAAAAACAATACCTAGAAATTGAAAAAACCCACAAAGTGGGAGAAAATATTTCCAAAYCTACATGTGCTAAAAGGACTAGTATCCAGGATCACTAAAGAACTCTTTTGTCAATAAAAGAATCCATAAAGAAWTGGCTCAGTGGTAGAGTGAACCCAATGTCTGCCACCTGATAGACAAAATGTACAGTTYCCATGAAGTTCTGATCCGTACTACAACATAGAAGAACCTTGGGAAGGCTACACATTGCATGAGTCCATTTATTTGAAATGTTCAGAAAAGCTAAGTCCAGGGAGACAAAGTTGACAGTGGTGGCCAGTGGCTTGTGGGGCATGGGAGATAGGGAATGACTGCTGTCTAACACAAAAATTTTCTTAAGGGTGTGATGAAAATGTTCTCAAACAGAGCATCAAGAAAGGTACTAAAGTTCTGTAAAACTGAATTGCATAATCTAAAAAGGATGACTTTTATGGTGTACAAATTACATATAAACATAAAATCTAAAAAAGAAGAGTTAAAAACAACCCTTTAAAAATCCAAGTTTTGTCTTTAAAGGTGTGATTTGGACAGGAAGAGAAGAGTCCTGTGTGTTTGTGTTTAAACAAATTACCTGTTGTGTAACCCCAATCCCTGTTCCCCTCCACCCCATTTAACCTCCTAYTGAGCAACTTCCACGAAGCCCCAGTGTTTTAATGATTTCTTTAGGGAAAATAACATCCATGGATAGAAGTCTTGACTTTAAAAACCACTCACTTGAGAATTAGGATGTGGCTCAGTAGTAGAGCTCTTGCTTACCACACACAGGTCCTGGGTTCCACCCCAGCACTGCAAAACCAAACCAAGCCCCTCCTTACCTGCTGTTTTGTACTCTTATTGGGCTTGACTGAATAGTGGATGTCCTTCATGGCTCTCTCAATAAGGATAACAGTGTATGGTCTCTTTGTTTCCGGGTTGACACACTTGTCTGCCACGATGGTTGCAATGTCCCTAAACATCTGCTCCAGCTGTGTGTGCCTTTCTTTATCAGATACCTGAACCTCTCCTTTAGTCAAAATCTAAAAATAAAACAAGAAAGCAAGCTAGGCATGGTGGTGCACACATGTAATCCCAGCTACTAGGAAGCTGAGGCCACAAGAGTCCAAGCTTGAGGTCTGTCAGGGCACTTAGTGGGACTCTAACTCAAAAAAACAGGGGTGGGGGTCGTGAGCAGGGACTGCTCAGTGGCATGTACCAGGTCCTGAGTACTGGGAAGAGGGGAGAAAAGGGATATCTTTCTTTACTGCACACTCTTTGTTAACTGACCACAAGAATTAATAACATTGGGGCTGGAGATGTGGCTCAAATGGTAGTGGTGCTTGCCTAGCATGCATGAGGCACAGGGTTCAGTTCTCAGCACCACATAAAAATAAAAATATTGTGTCCACCTGAAACCAAAAAAATATACACATTTTAAAAAAACCTCTTAAAAAAAGAATTAATAACATTGAATTTCATCTTCTCCAGCTGACATTCAGGAATTGATTTGAGCTTTGCCTAACCATACACTGGATTTCAAGGTGTGCTCACTTATTTAGGACAGGGTAGAGAAATAGAAAAGGGCAATCTCGTAGAAAAATTCGATATTTCAGGCATGCCACATTTGAAAAAAATAACTGGGCAAAATGAGGGAATTATCACAATACCTAATTTTTGGAACTTCTGGCAAAAAGCATTCCCATTTTGTATTACTAAAAATGAGTTCCAGGTGCAGCGGATTCCTGTAATCCCAGGAACGTGGGAAACTGAGGCAGAAGGATCTTAAGGCCAACCTGAGCAAGTGAGATCCTGTCTCAACAAAAAGGCAGTGAATGTGGTGGTGCACACCTGTAACCCCGGGGGCTTGGGAGGCAGAGGGAGGAGGACCACATTTTCAGGCCAACCTCAGCAACTCAGCAAGACCCTATCTCAAAAACAAAAAGTGCTGTGGATGCARCTGGGTAGGAGAGCGCCCCTGGGTTCAATGCCCAGCACTGAACACAGCAACGGCCTGCGACCCACGTTCTTGTGCGCAACCTTTCCCTTTAAAGACAGCAACGCTAACGCTGGGCACCCCTCCAAGTACCTGGCCCAGGGACTGCSGCGGAGTCAGGCCCCGGGGACCCACCTGCTTGCAGATTTCCGTTTGATCGTCGGTGCCGAAAGCACTGATGAGGTCTTCCTTCTTAGCGACCTGGCCTTTGGAGACGTTCACGAACACGGAGTGCGTCTGCAGGACCTCGTCCAGGTCTTTCTCCCTAGGGAGGGCGGGAGAGGCCGCTCACAGCCTGGACTCGCCCGCAGCGCCGCCTGGGCACGCCCTGGAGGACGCAGCCCCGGCCCGCGCCGCCCGCCCCGGCCTGCCCTCGGACGCGGCGGGGCCGACCCACCCCGTGACCCGCCGGGGAGCCGGGCTCACTCACACGCCGCTGCGCCAGCCCACCACCTTGTTCTTGTAGCAGGCGATTTCGAAGCGCTTGCCTGCGCGCTTCATGCGAACCACCGCCACGTTGGTCAGGCGGATCTGGTTGGTGGGGGTGAAGATAGACATGGTGGCCGCTCACAGATCGCGGCCGGGGAACCAGGGCTCTTCGCCTCGCGGCCACTGGTGCCCAACTCCAACGACCCCAGGCGCGCGCAACCCTAACGACAGCCACTGGGCTAGGCCCGTCTGCGACAGCCACTGCGCACCTCGCAGACCCACTGCGCACCTCGAAGACGCACTGCGCAGGCGTCCGGCCCGGCGCGTCGGGCGGGGACGCGAGCTACCACACCTGCGCTTTGCGGCTTTTTACGACGCGGTTTACGTCAGCGAGTGAGAAGAGCTGTTAGGTCTGTGGCTGAAGTTTAGAGACCGGATGGAAATGCAGCACCATTGTTGCAGAGTATCGCAGAGTTCCGGGGTCACGCCCACTTTATTTATTTATTTATTTAATATTTATTTTTTAGTTTTCGGCGGACACAACATCTTTGTTGGTATGTGGTGCTGAGGCTCTAACCCGGGCCGCACGCATGCCAGGCGAGCACGCTACCACTTGAGCCACATCCCCAGCCCATCACGCCCACTTTAACTTATTCAGTTTGTTTTCTTTTCCTTGCTGGACATCGAACCCAGGTCCTTGCGCACGCTAGGCAAGCGTTCTACACTCCTAGCCTAAAGGGAAAAATTACCAAACAATAGAGACTAAAAAAAAAAAAATGAACTCCTATCGTCCCTATTTCATTTTTGGCAACACTTTTCCTTCTTTTATTTCCTATTCTTCATTTTTTGGTCAAGTATTTTAAGACAAATCATCCCATGATTTTAGCCTTAAATAGTGAAGCAGGTACTTTAACAGTACGTCCAACAACATTAACCATGATTGCTCAGCACCTTGTAACAGTCACGGAACTGAGACCCAAACATCAACACACGCCAGTCTTTTAATACTCCTCCCCTAGTTCTCCCCCCGCCCCGCGTTCCCAGCCGAACTTAGCTGCCTAGTGTTTTGATTGGTGCTTCTTTCTGGCTCTCCTCTTCTCYCTCAGCCAATCCGAGCACCACCGGCAGCGCTGGCCCCGGCCCTTTTGCCTAGCGCGCTGGGCGGTGCTCCCCCCCTCGAGCCCGCCCACTTCCCCTCTGAGCCAATACGAGCAAGACGAGGAAAGCGCGCCGGCTCAGAGCGCTGGGCGGTGCTTTCGCTGGGCCCGCCTCTTTCCCTTCTGAGCCAATCCAGGCAGGGTCCGGCGCGTSCGGCGTCCCCTCTCTGCCCGCCTCTTTCGCTCTGGAGCGGTCCCRCGCGGCAGCGAGCGGCATGGCCTGTCACCGGGCTGCGAGTTCTGGCCAGCGCGGCCTCTGAGGAACAGCTATCTCCGGGCCTGAGGGCCTGGGCTCCGAGGAGCATGGGTGAGGCCCGGCGCGGCKAGGCGTGAGGAGGCGGGCGGATCTCCGGGCCTTGCCCCCGAAGGCTATCCCGGTGGCCGCGACGCTCGACGCGCTTCTGCCCTTGGAGACTGGGGGCGAGGTCCCGGCRTCCGCTTCCGAGGCGGAAAGGCACGGCCTCGCCGCCCCACGCTCAGGACCCGGAGGAGGGGTCCTTGGGGGTCGTGCCGGGCCGAAGCTCGGGGCGCTCCTCGCGTCCCCTCCGCGCGCGGCGAGGCCTGACGCGAGCCCGCGGCGGCGGCGCGCGCCTGTGGCCCGAGGCGGGGACTGGCTGCGCACGGTTCGCGGGCCTCGCCGCCGGGTCGCCTCCTGGCGCTGGACCTGGCTCTCGCTGGTCTTGCCTGCCGCGGTAGGCGCTGTCTGCGGGGCTGTTCCAGCAGGTCCCCTAC